CAGCCCACTCCTCCACAAGGGGGTCGGTTATATGCAGAGGTATATTTCTCCAATGAGAGATACATAAAAGTCAATTATTAAACCTTCAAATTTACAAAAAGCTTTGACTTTATTATGAATGTTTCTAAATTTGGAAGAATATTAACCTTGAATTCTACCAGATAAAATCTCAGCTGTTCTTGCGAATAGATTAGAACAGATTTAAAATAATTCTTATACTATTTACAATATAGAGTTGAAAGCTCCAATGAGCTCTAGTTGTTAAAACATTTTTTTTTTTTTTTCAAAATTCACCAAGTTTCCTGCTGTGTCTTATCATATCAGATGTTTACTTGCATCTTTTCCTTATTTTTGTATAGATCCACCAATCCTGATTGTTTTGGTTGTTGCTGCTGCTGTCATTCTCATTGTGGGATTTATTATTTACAGAAAAAGGAAAGGTAAGAAACTGAAAGGAGCTGAGATCAAGTCTTTTTTTCACACTAAAAACTGAGTTGATAGCATGATTTGTTTTGTTTTTTTATCAGCTCTGACTTATACAAACAACCTTTTTTTCTTTTGTTTCAGAAAAACACACTGAACAATCTTGTGAGTAGAATTGATCTTTTCTTTGTATTGTTTTTTATCCCGTGTTTGGGAGGCATATGCTGTGGATGTTTTAAAAAAAATAATGTTTTCTATTTCACAGCTCCTGACAGCGTGCATGAGCTCTCAGAACGGCTAAGTCCAGCCTAAGTAAAGTAACACACCAAATACAGCAACAACTAAGGCATCAAGTGTTAGCAGTTGTAGCTAAACAAGAAGAGGAAATAGAATAAATGTCATAACAAGCTAAGCTTTTTCATGTACTACGCATATGAGCATCATAGATATTGCAAATAAAATGTTTTGTGTCATCGGATGGGAAGATACAGATTGGGGGGCCCGGGTGGGATTCCATTACCAGGCTCCCAGGTGAATGTTATAACCACCGATAATCAACTACAAAACCAACTACAAAATGGGCCAATATAGCCTTCACCTAGGAGTGGGCATTGTTTGAATTTTGACAATTCAAATACTTATTAAGCTTATTTGTTTCAATTCCAGTTCCTATCCCTCTAATTTATTATTTACATTTTTCAAATGAGATAACTAACTTTATTGCATCAAGAAACTTGTCATATAGACCCAAACCAGCCTTAGTCTGGTGGGGCCAAAGTTATCCATTATAAATCAACGTTATCTTAAGGGTAAGACCATGCTAGGTGTTTCATTAGATCAAAGATCTTTGTAACCGATGGGGATAATTACTTTATCCATATAGAGACATAATGAGCAAGTCACAGAAGTATTTAGCTCTCAATATCAATGACCAAAAAATTGTGTTTTAACTTCCAGTGGGCACCAATGACGACTGTCTCTCTTGTTGTTGTCAGTCTGTGTGTTGAGAACAACAGCAACCCCTAAGCCTTTATCTTCGACCTGCTCCCCCCTACAGTGAGAGAGGAGAAAAAGCAGTAATCTTTGACAGCAAATTTTGCCCAAATGAAGAGTCACTTTAGTCATCTGAGGTGTAGTAACATTGTTTTGTAACGTAGTGGAATTACCCAAATGAGAAGAGTAATAACTGAGATTATGCCGCTACTGTAAAAATAAGGCCGTTACTAATGCCGTTATTATGTAAAGCCGTTACTACCAACATTGACTGTACAGAGAAGACAAATTTAGCATATATAGGTTATATGATTTTATCAATACATATTTTCACTATTTTCTTACAGATTATATCAGGCAATAATCAGGGAAACCCGAGCACATTAATGAAGATAAAGAACAAAGGGATTGAATGAGCAGCATTAAGGCTTCACTCTGAGTTTCCCCATTATTAAGGATGAATTAAATAGCCAGAATATATCAAACAAAAATATTAGACTAAACACAGCACTCAATGTCTGACCTGCTCTGACCATATTTCCCTAATGATCTATTGCGTCGATAGATCAGTCCCTTTTGATGGTCCGCAGGTCAAAGAGGAGGCTAATAGAAGAGGCCAGGTCACTGACTCCAAACCTGAAAAACTAAGTAAAAATGAATCTTCTTAAAAAACTAAATATTTAAGGAAGGTTCTATAAACACCACATATTGACTCAAAATACTCAGTGTTCGATGAAGCAACTTGACCACAGATTTGTGGATGTTGTGTGAGGGCACATTGCTCTGTTTCCAGTTTATTTCGGTATCGATCTTAATGTATGAATCCAGCATTTAAATTATTTCTCTGAAAATTTCTCGATCATCTACAGTAGGACCTTGTCATTCCTTGCATAGGTAGATAGTTATAAACAGGTAGTTTGATTTGATAATTTTTGAATTTTTTTGTGTTATATTTATTGAGTTTTTTTTTTTTAGATGTAAAACACTTTGATCATTTCAGTTGTCTTTTTAAGTCTTTCTAATAAACTCAAATAGTTATTATATTGTACATTTAATTTGTTGTCTGTTTCCTGTCACTTTTCCATTAAATCTCTCAAAATCCATTTACAAAGTCTATCAATAAAGAAAGGTACTATCACCTTAAAAAAATTGTAAAATTAATGTATTTCTTTTATTTCTTTTTGTATCTTTTTATCTGCCATTTTTTTGTCCTTTATACCTTGTGTTATGTCATTTTATGATTCTATACAGT